TAAGCAAATTGATAGCTCAACATTTTGCACGGTTAATGATGATGCCCCCACGATGATATGAGGAGATTGCCACAGCTCGCCAGACATCACCATTGTGGCACCGGGTCTGATAAATGACGTAACCTGGCAACCCGTCGTTTCACTAGGCTCAGTCCACCTTCCGATCATCGTCTCCGTAAACAGACCACCAGACTTCATAACCTCTGAAAGCCGTACTTTCCTGAACCATGCGAAAGCTGATTGGCCTAGCTTCAGAGAGTTTACCAATCACCGCTTCAGAGAGCTGCCCACTCCCTCAGATCCACGGGTAGCTGAGAGGAATTTCCGTAAAATCATCGCTACTGCTGCCGCTCGCTTCATACCTGCTGGTCGAATACCCGAACTAAGACCTAACTTCCCAGCAGAAGCAACGGTATTGGCTAATGAGCGTGATGAGCTCCGTCGTACCACTCCTGAAGACCCAAGGTTGCGAGAGCTTACCCTTGAAGTCAACAGATTAGTATGCGAGCACAAAAGGAAAAAGTGCCTAGACCACCTGAAGCAATGCAACATTGCCACCGGAACAAGTAAATTGTGGGCAACGGTTAAGTCACTCTCGAATCCTGGAAGGAAAGATGACAGGACGGCTGTTACATTTAACGACGTAACTGTAACAGACCCGAAGAGGTGCGCGAGTTATTTTAACCGGCAGTTCATAGAGCACCCCGAGAGTGACAGGGCGAAAAGGAGTGTGCTACGTCGCATAAGGGCACTCCGAGCTGAGGAGGAACCACCACAATTTACGAAGGAGGATGTTGCAGATGTCATTAATAACGCTAAGTCATCCAAAGTGTTGGGCATGGACGGAATTTCCATGGTAATGCTAAAGCAGCTGGATGAAACTGGAGTTGAGTAACATCAGCCCTCAACTTGTCGTTAACCACCCACATAGTTCCTGAAGCCTGGAAAATAGGCAGGGTGATCCCGCTACTGAAGCCAGGCAAGGATGCCAGCAGTGGTGAATCGTACAGACCGATTTCACTCCTGTCGCCGGTAGCGAAGACACTTGAGGCGCTACTCCTCCCATCGTTCAGAAGCAGTTTTCCAGTTGCCCAACACCAACATGGATTCCGTAAGATGCATAGTACAACAACAGCATTTCCCATTTCCACACATATTAGCAGAGGACTCAACCAGAACAGGCCGTGCAACCGAACAGTTATGGTGGCACTTGACCTATCGTCAACCACGCCAAGCTGTTCGAGGATATAGAGAGGACAAATTTCCGACCGTGTTTGAAACGTTGGATAATCAACTATATGTGTGGACGCCAATCGTATGTGGAATTCAGAAACAGGAAGTCTAAACCCCGTAGAGTGAAAAAGGGAGTTCCCCAAGGAGGGGTAATATCTCCGGAACTGTTTAACCTCTACCTTTCTGATATTCCACAACCACCGGACGGCACAGATATCGTAATGTATGCGGATGATTGCACGATCATGGCGACGGGTCCTATTATTGATGATATATGTGAGAGGCTAAACGTCTACATAGCCGATATTGTTAACTACTTCCATTTGAGGAATATGAAAATATCCACCATCAAATCAACAGTCTCACTGTTCACCACATGGACTGCTGAAATGAAGCTGCTCCCTTTTCAAGTCGTCCGCGCATGCCACTGCTTTATGCGATAAGCTGAGAAGTAGGAACAAGGTCCTCAAGTCGCTAGCCGACAGCACTTGGGGCGCTGACAAAGAAACCTTGTTGACCTCTTAGAAAGCAATAGGCCGGTCAGTGGTAAGCTATGCGGCGCCAGTGTGGTTCGCGAATGTCAGTGATACGCAGTGGAAGAATATTCAGACCTGCCAGAACGCTGCCCTGAGAACTGCAACAGGGTGTCTCCTTATGACTCCAGTGGACCATCTTCATGAGGAGACGAATATCTTACCCGTCCATCGTCACAACTATATGTTGTCGATGCAGTACCTGATTGGGTGTTATCGTCAGGAACATCCCTGCCATAGCCTTATGGACAGGACTCCCCCACCCAGGCACGTCAGGAAAGATCTTCATGATCTAGAGAGAGAGGTCCAAAGGTACAATCGTGAACCTCTAGATCAAGAAGCCTATCAAGCAGGTCTGAATGGTATTCACACGGATGCAGTCGCTCAGGCAGTAGAGCAATATCGAGTGAATACCATAATTGGAGACCACCCCCAACCATCGCAGCTGAGGAGAAGCAGCTGCCAAGGCAAACACGAGTAGTCTTAGCTCAACTAAGATCAGGATGGTGCAACCGCCTCAATTCATATTGGGCAAGAATCGACGGCTCGATACCTAACACATGTCTGGCATGTGGAATAGGACCACACGACACGTTGCATCTCTTCAATTGCCCGGCTAAGCCTACTCACCTATCGCCGAATTCACTTTGGACGCAACCCGCTGAAGTTGCAGCATTCCTGAATTTGGAGGTAGAAGATGCAGAACCAGACGATGCATGACAAAACGACATGTATTCTGTTGCTACAACAACAACAACAAACTGTGATCTATTTCGCAAATAAGATAATATACATTTAACTAAATTTATACTGAAACCAATTTGATTTAATTTATATATTAAAAGTTCATGGTTAACCCTGTCAAAAGCTTTACTGAAGTCAGTGTAAATTGTATCGGTTTGATTACGCTGAATAAAACCTTTTATGACGGTTGAGGAAAATTGAATAAGATTGGTAATGGTTGAGAGGCCACTACGAAAACCACGTTGATATGGACTTAAGATTGGCTGAACTTTATGATAAATTACATCAGTAATCAATTTTTCGAATAATTTTGGAATTGCACATAATTTAGCAATTCCTCTATAATTCGAGACATTAGTTAAGCTACCCGATTTGTGTAAAGGAACTATATAGGATTTCTTCCAGAAGGTAGGAAAATGACTATACTTCAAGGAATAATTAAACAACAGCGTTAATGGGATAGCTAATGTATCTGAACAGTACTTTAGAATTATGCTAGGAATGCCATCCGGACCTAGACTTTTAATTGATCTTAAATTACGTAGATTTTTAGAAACATATTGACTTTGTAAAAAAGGCATAGATATTTGATCTATCGTCGATAATATATAGCTATATGTATCTTTATTTGGACAAAGTGAATATGAATATGTTGTAGCGAAAAAAATTGCAAAGCACTCTGAAATTTCAGAGTTTTTCTCAAATGTCTGATTATTGAATTTCAAAATGGTGGGTTTTGACGTAGCTTTTCTATTTATATTAACAATGTCATAAAAAGATTTAGGATTGGATTTGAAATTATGTTTAATCTTGTTTAAATAAAGATTGTAAAGTTTTCGGGACTCTGTCGTATATTTAGACTTTGCGACAGCATAATTAGCATAATCTATAAAGGAGCCTGATTTTTTTATATTTTTTAAAAAGTTTATTTTTATAATTTTTAATATTTGAAAGCCCAGATGTGACCCATGGTGCGTTTAGCTTTCGGAAGTCAGTTTTATTATAATTAGGAACAGATTTAAATGACATTGAAGAATTTTTGGTAGCTAAATTATTATGCATCATGGATATGCATAATGTAGAATGGTAGTTATCTTCGGGAGTACATACTTGAGGTATTTTAATTATTTCAAAATATTGTGTATAATTCACAAATGCTAGATCTAGAATTCGATCATAACAATTTGATACGCTATTTATTTGATAAAGATTTATGTCACTAAATCAATTTACAATTTCAAAGGTATATTGGTTTACATTTGCATCAGATGTCAAGGGCGTTAGAGCCTCAGAATCTGGCAATGAAAGCCACTTTACGGACGGCAGATTAAAATCGCCGAGAACTAATATTTTGTTATTCATTCATTCTGTTAGTGATTGAATTTATTGGTAACAGATGCTGATTATAAATATCAAGTTGCGATGAGGGAGGAATGTATGAGCAAGTCACATATAATTTAAAATTTTCTAATTCAATGGATATACAAATAAATTCGATATAAAAACAGTTTAATTCAATTAAATTAGTGGAATATTTGGCATCAACTGCAATAAGGACGTCACCACATTTTTTAACAACTCTATCTTTTCTAAATATTTGATATCTAGAACACAAAATTTCACTATTTAACACGGATGCTTTTAACCAAGTTTCAGAAAATATAACATCATAATTAAAACCAAGGCTATCAGAGAATAATCGAGTTAATTTTGTGTTTATCTCTCTTACATTCTGATAGCAGACATTGAGAAACATATTTAGTTTTTTGGCAATATTTCAGCCCTCTGAGGCAAATGAGCTAAATTTTCAGATCTTTCCAGAAATTCCTTTACAAATGCATTAGCAGGCCAAATTTCTCTAGAAAGTAGTCGATGAAACATACTTTCTGAGAAAGCAGGCCGGAGCTTATAACAACGTAGAAAGAAATTTCCATCGATTTTTGATTTTATATAATAGTTTATATCCCAGCCGAGATATCTGGTGCAAACCTAGATACAAATACCATATAATTTATGAATTTTCTGGAATTTATATCCCTTGAATTTCTTATGAAACACAAAATTTGGCAACTCTGTTTTGAGATGTCAAAATAACAAAACAAAATAAAAGAAATGTTACAACAACAATATAAGCTAATGTAACGAAGGAACAAATTGGGAATGGAAACAAAATGCCAATCAGAATTAAAAAGATTAATTAATATTAGCAAAAATATGTTAAATTTCACAATTCCAATTAGATCAAAATGCACAAAAATTATTTCACAACACTTTTAAACACTGTTACCACAAAAACACTGATTATATTGTTAGAAATTAAATATTTTTTAAACGAGCACAGAGCACCACAAAATTAGTGAACATTCACGACAGGGTTGCCAACGTTTTATTCAGAATACATACTTTTTCCATTGACTTCCCCCCACACACATCTGTATGTTCGACCAGTATGTGAATGATTCAATAAAAATATTAAAATGTAAAAATTACCTGTTGATTTGTTGATTTCAAAAAATCCTTCAGGATTTCCTGAAACAATCTTATATGTAATTTTAGTTGTTTTGTCTACATCATCATCTGTTGCGTTCAGTTTTATTATAAGGCTATGTGCATTACTCCCTTCAAGTATATAAGGGTAATATACTGGTTGTGTCGTTATAGGAACATTGTCATTTACATCCTCAACTTCTATATACACCTATAAGAAATATAAATGTGTTCATAATAATTTCTTACATAATTTATAAATGTAATATATACCTGCGTACAACTGTATAATGGTACTATGGCTTGATCCTGGGCGCATAAAGTGAGCCAATAAAACTGCTTAGTTTCGGCATCCAAGTGCGAGAGTGTTCGAATAGATCCTTTGTAATTGAAAAATAATCCATTAGCGCTTATATATATATATATATATATATATATATTGTATCTTTATTTAACGTACCTTTTTCATTAACGGTAAATAATCCGATTCCATCCCCACCACGTATATAATATGATATTTCTGATTCTGGACCTTTGGAGTCAAGGTCCCTGGCAGTTATGTTCCGTACAATTGTCCCTTTTGGCATATTCTCTTTAACTTTTGCAGTATAGACAAAATCATCAAACTCCGGAGAATACCGATTCTCGTTGACGTCAATTATCTCTATAACAACGGGCATTTCTGAAGATAAGGATGGTGTGCCGCAGTCTATGGCACTAATTACTAGATTGTAGATTTGTTGCGTTTCATAATCTAAGTAATTCTGTGTCTGAATTATACCGCTGACTTTATCAATTTTGAATAGAGTTCCATTTGCAACATCCTCTTTAATGGAAAAAAGAATTTCTGAGTTTATACCGACATCAAAGTCATTTGCTTCTATTTTAGCAATAACTGTGCCTCTAGGAAGATCCTCACGAACTTTAAAGATAATTTCTTGAATACCAAATACAGGAGCATTGTCATTTATATCATCTACAATTATGGAAACAACAGCTTCCGCTGATAGAGATGGAATACCTCCATCCTTGGCGTAAATTTGTAATTCATACTCATCTTGTGTTTCGCGATCTAGAGTACTTAATAAAAATAAACAGCCTGTGGTCGAATTTATAGCAAATTTATTTGTTTCAGATTTAACTCCATAAAAAATATGGGCATTTGTAGTTGCATCTGCATCCGTCGCGTTTAGGCAGAAAACTTCACTTCCAATTATAGTATTTTCAGGAAGATGAAGTTTAGCAATAGGCCTTTGAAATACTGGTGGGTTATCATTAACATCCAAAATAGTGACTGTTAGCATTTTTGAATCACATCTGGAAGGTTGTCCAAGGTCGCACACTGTTATATTCAGGACATACTCTTCCTGTCGCTCTCTATCCAAGTATCCTATAAGTTGAAGTTCACCACTGTCGGGATCAACTCTAAATACAGATTCAAAATCGCCATCGGCAATTCCAAACACCAACTTTCCATTGTATCCTAAGTCCCGATCTTTGGCTTTAAACCTTGTTATTGTATCACCTAGAGGAAGACTCTCATTCACATTCAATATTATCGGAAAATCAACAAATTCCGGTTTGTGTACATTTTGTCCATATCTGTTAAGTGTTAAGTAACCGTGTGTTTCCAATTCGTCATTGATTCTCATATTGTTCTTTTCCGAAGCAGCTAATATATCAGCCAACTTTTTCGCAACCCCGGTTTCATGGCACTCAAAACTGCTATAGCCATCTAAATCCAATTTCAAGCCATTCAAATGACCGCCGCTTATAAGATCTATGTTGATTGTCATCTCATCAGAAAAATGTGTTCCATCTGTTGCGGACACGTTAATATGACGATGGAACACTCGCATATCATTAAGATCACATCCAATTGTTATTACGCCAGTGATTGAATCCATATTAAAACATCCATCTTCATTACCAGAAATTAGCCGATATGTTATATAATCGCCGACATCAAAGTCTATGGCTGATAATGTGAATATATCTGTCCCCACAGGAGCATGCCGAAATACTTTTCCTACACAATCGATACGTTCGAACTGTGGTCTATTGTCGTTTATATCGTTGATATTAACAATTACATCCATTTCCGTCTGTCTTCTGTAGGGTAGGCCCCAATCTGATGCTCTCACTTTTAATTTATACGATCGTCTCATCACTTCAAAATCTATTAAACTTGTTGTTCGTATAACTCCAGTAAAATGGTCTATATCAAAAGGCATATCATGAAAATTCGCAATACTATATGATATAAATGAATTCTCTCCGGCGTCTTTATCCCTTGCCAGGACTTTCGTTACATACGTTCCTGTCTTTTCGTTCTCATTCACGTATACTGTTATATTTTTCTGATCGAAAATAGGATCATTATCATTAATATCTAGTATATTAATTTTTACTTTTGCTGATGATTGCTTTCGAATTCCTAAATTGGCTTGATCAATGGCGGACACAGTAAGTGTATAAAAAGCAGTTCTTTCGGCATCCAAATTTTTCTGTGTATACAACATACCTGTGTCGGGATTGATCTTAAATTCTCCTCCTTCATTTCCTCCTACAATTTCAAGAAAAACTAGTGCGTTTTTTCCAAAGCTGGGGTCGCTTACTTTTAAACGAATTACAGGCATATTTATTGGAGCAGTTTCTGGAATGGATACTTCATATAACTGCTTAGTAAAAACAGGGGCATTTTGTTTTTCAACATATATAGTAATAGGTACAATTTTAGACGTATGTCTTTGTGGAATCCCTTTGTCCTCAGCGCGTATAGTTAAGTTGTAATAATTAGTCGAATTAGGTAGTACAACCAGTTTCTTCAAATGAAGATAAAATTCATCGTTCGTTTTAGATGGAACTATCTCAAATATTCCATCTGCATCACCATCTACAATCGAGACAGCACTGATTTCACCGTGTTTGCCACTGTCTTTGTCAGAAACTCGAATGATTCCAAATGTGTTTCTGGTAAAGTCGATATTTTCCTGTACCACTATATTGTAGACTGTACTAATGTATAGATCTGGCGAATGTAGATTACTCTGAAATTGAAATAAAAAAATTTTGTGATTATAAATGACAGTGTTTTGAGCAAAAATATAAATGACAGTGCTTTGAGCAAAACAATTAAAAGCTCTAAGATTCTTCAATGGTTATTACAAACAATAAAATGTTTATTTTTTAATGTAATATTTATTATCAAAAAATTACGTTGTCACTAGTATTACCCAGTTGTTCAATAAATATCAATTGTCTGCTATTATATAATTAATAAATATCATTATTATATCTGTTATGAATGCATGTGGTCTGTGTTCCAGTACTTTTTTAATAGTAAATCTAGTAAAAGGGAAACATTTCAAAATTGCTCTCAGTGTACAAAATAATTTGAAAAGTTCGGGAACGCAAATCTAGAAATATGCCAAAATTAGACGGCCAACATAACAGCCAATCGGAAGTAGGCACTCCTGTTTACCATTTTTTACTCGGCCAAATTTCTCGAGTAAAAAGTTTACAAAGAGAAAGCCATTTTGTTTTGTGCTCCCTTAAATTTGAGTCAATGTTTTACCAGTTTTGTGGGTTGCGGAACGGTTTTCGAGTAAAACGTTGCAAAACATGTAAAATGAGTAGATTCATTTAGGTTCTGGAACGGAACTATAGCTAGTTACTTAGTGATCTAGTTACTTTACACCAAAATGGAACACAAAATAGACTGTTGGATTCCTTTGTTGATTGGAAATTTTGTCTAAGCAAATTACACCAATTCATTAGTTACTGGTAATGCGAAGGGTAATGAATCGACTATTTTATAGATTACCGGTGGATATAATAATCAATGTTTCTCTCTTCGTTACAAATTCTCTATGCCAAAATCAAAAGCTGAACAACTGTTTTGTCATTTTGTTTAGACTTTTCAGTAAATTTCTAAATTTTGAATACAATTTTCGTTTTTAATTCCCATTTATTCAAAAGAGTCGGACATATATATTGAATACATATATAAAGGGAACTCGATTTTATATCCTGCTGGTTACGTAAGTTTTAAAATTGAGAAGCAATAAAGGAGAACCTTAGTCTTCTACATAAATATATTCATTTCAGGGTTTCTATATTTAGACGTCTTTCAAAAGTCTCAAATAGAAGCGCTGCCCACACATAGAGGGACTACTGGTATTCTGTACAAAGAAAGAAGATTCGATAGTGGAGTTATATAAATAACAGATAAGGTTTAGCAATATCCTTGCAAAATATTATGTAATTTGTCAAAAATACCGAATAAATATAGACATAAAGAAAAACTTTTATACAGAATATTTTCAAAACTGTTATAATATCTATATTGCTAAACATATGTAACTAGACTAGTAAAGTACTATAATTTCCGACTACTGAAATGGCTGGTTACTCGTAAGGCAGGTAGGTGACAATTGACATACCCATGTTAAATTCACCAGTCTAGGGCATGAAGGGGTAACTAGTGTTACTTATAGGTAATTAGTAAAATACCTAGTTCATAAGCGGTTACTCGAATAATACGTTGACCAGTAGATACGTGTCCATGTATATCACCCATTTCATTTGCAGTCAGCAGTTCCCCATCTTTGGCAATACTTATTGTTAAAGGCATCTTCATCGTTCTCAGATCATGAAAAAACTCCGATTATTTGAAATATGGTCGCATGATCCTGAATCCAAAATAAAGCTCATGTTGGTTGCCTCACTCATAATTGCATTTACCATAAAACACACAAATTCATCCTCACTTTCATTATCAGAATAAGGAACCGTGGATTATCGATGGTTCGTTGAGAAATTTGCTTCTTTTCTAAACCTGCAATTAATTTTCATATGTCCCATTTTTCCGCAGTTATGGCATTTTCCATTGAATTTGAATTTATTATTCTTGCGAGCAACAAAAACAGTTCCTGATTTTCCAACACCATGGTCCCCAATTCTATCACCCCTTTTTGCCTCTTCAGCTAGTAAACGTTGTTTTATCACTGATAATGTCAATTCATCTTCTTTTATATTTTCCAAAGCTGTTATTAGAGGGTCATAACTTTCAGGCAGGCTTACAAACAGTTGCGACACCAAGTCGCGCTCGTCTAATTTTGCTCCAGCTGACTTTAATTGGCGTACAAGACCATCAAATTCTAAAAAATTATCCATCATTTTTGTATCTCCTGATAATTTCAATTTTGCAAGCTGTTTCCTCAATATTGTCTGATTTGTAGATGATCTCACCGTAAAAACGTTCTTTAAAGCATTCCACATTTGAATTGCAGAAGATTTATCTCTTACATAGTCCAAATAGTCATCATGAATACAACTGACTATAATGTATTTTGCTTTCGTATCCATCTCACGATACTTAATTTTTTTCTCATTTGAAGCATCGTCTTCCAGGGCTGATTCAATTACTTCCAACACATTAACCGCATCCAAATACATTTTTACACGAAAACTCCAGTTTTCATAATTTGTTCCATTAAATTGAACTATTCCATGAGGAACTTCCTTTCTTTGGTCGCCCATAACCTCTTGATTTTATTATTTCTATTTGATGGTTATGAATTGAAAGTTTTATTTCGAATGAATATAAATTTTGATTACATTGACAATATTACAAAAATAATTTACAACGCATGCTTCTATTTAAAATTAATATTTAATTGAGTGAAAAAAAACCTACAAAATCAAGGTGTTCAACAGGGTTACATAAAAGATGTGGACCAAAACAGCCAACCGACTTAAAACTGATTTATGCCTAGGTTTCCTATTCGTTCTGCCCTTCATTTTCTTCCGCCCCTATGAATGTACTATTAATGCATTTTTATTATTAGAAAACTTAAATACAATTGTTCAAGGTCTATAATAGGTAATCCAGTAAGGCCAACTGCTAACTAAAATTTTTGTCAAAATAATTAATTTCTAATAAAAACGTAGTTCCCTATCAAAAGTATGTAAAATAATGTTCCAATTTCAAAAACAAATGTGTAAAAATACAAGAAAATTTTATCAAATAAAGTGAAAAATAAATAAATTTGTGCTAATTTTGTCGTTCGCGTTGAAAAAATATATAAAAAACGAAATATTCTATAAGATATTTTCGCCACAACAATAACGTTTGACAATAGATGTAGGGTTCTATTTTTGTAGGAATTCGCCTTCTGGATGACCTGATATTTGGACCATGAGAATGTTCACAGAGTTTTTTTTTTTTTTTTTTTTGACAATTTTCTTTACAATAATAAAGAAATGTGTTTTAAACCATATGACTATCACTTTAACCTTAATTACATATACCTTGATTTATATCAAAAACGATTTGTCAGTATGACAATTTAATTTCTATAAAATTATTTATTTAAAAAAAGTTGTTGTTGTTGTAACAGTTTGGCTGTCTCGTTTTCCCTGAAATGATTCATCGATGTTTGTTTTTTATTTGAACTTGTGTCTATTACTGGTTTGGGGATGCGGGGTTCAATGTGAATGATGTGTGTGTGGAAGGATGTGGTAAATTGGGGGTGGTTAATGTATTGTGTGTGGATTGAAGGGATTGATGGGAAGGGTGATCAAATGTTATGTTGGGAGCCACTTCTATTGGCCTCACTTCTATTGACCTCAACCACAGATCAGTGGTCCAGTTCTTCCAGTTCTTGGAGCAACAATATTTTGCGTTGGAAGCAGCAGATTAATCTTTCGATACAAATAGAGCCATAAAATTCGAGAAAAGATTCAGCCAATCGCAAGTGTCTTGCCATGTTTGCAATCGAATAGGACACAGAATGGTAGATTGTCGAGCGTTCTTAGCAATGACATCAGCGGAAAGGATTGCTAAGGCCAATGAACTGCGAGTTTGCTGTAGTTGCCTTAATCACAAGATGGGCAGCAGATGTCTCAGTAACAGACGGTGTCAAACATGCAGTGGAAGACATCATAACTAACTGCACGTTGATGAGCAAAAGAAGTACAAAAGTACTGGGATGAAGAAGGAATCAAGCGCTACGAAAGCAACGATGATGACGGAGGAAAGTACTTCGACTGTACTACTCGCTACAGCGCAAGTGAAGGTACGATCGATGACCGGAGAGGATGTAACGATGAGGGCGATTATCGACCAAGGAAGCTGCTCAGATTCTTGGACTTCCACGGATCAAAAATAATACCATTATTCATGGACTGGGCAGCACGCCAGTGGGAGTATCCAGACATAAAGTTAGGATAGAAGTGAAGCCTCGATTTCTAAGCAACGAAATCTTTCGCACAGAGGCATTCGTGCTACCATCAGTGATGAATGCTCAACCAGAGGAATCATTCGAGGCCAATGTAGAAGAATGGAACAATTATACATAGGCAGATCCGTTGTTTAACAAGTCAGACAGAGTGGACTTGATCATCGGTGGCGATCTGTATTCCGAGCCACCTTTTGCCCAGAAAACTAAATTAGGTTGGATTTTATCCGGCAAGGTACAGCTGAAAAACAAGTCCCGAAGATATCATTTAGCCGTGACTAATTTGGAAAGATTTTGGGAGATCGAGGAGGTAGAAACGCCAGCAAGTCCGGCGGTGGAAGATGACTGGTGTATGCAGATGTATGACGAATCGACAGCAGTAGAAGATGATGGACGAATAGTGGTGTCATTGCCGTTGAAAGAAGATAAATCACTCGGCGATTCCAAAAGTCTGGCAACAGCAAGGTTACTATCTACAGAAAGAAATCTACGGCGCAACCCTGAGCTGCGAGGCCCCTGCAGGGGATTTATGAAGGAGTACGAAGACTTAGGTCATATGGAAAAGGTGTCATCAGAATCTAAAGGAAAATTTTACTTGCCTCATCATGCAGTGATACGATAAGGTAGTTTGACTACGAAACTGCGGGAGGTATTCGATGCGTCAGCGAAATCCACAAATGGAAGAAGCCTAAATGACATAATGTATACAGGCCCTAAGCTGCAAAGATATATATTTGACATCATGCTGCAATGGCGAATGTACCCCTATGTGGTAACGGCAGACGTGAAAAAATGTATCGTCAGAT